ATGTCGCCCCCAGGATTCCTCTCCTTGTCGACACCATGCACCATCCTTCTACCCAAACCCTTCAGAAGGCCATCCATGCCCTTTCCCAAACAACCTTCGTCGCTATTGTGACATCGCCCGTCCTCGCCCTCCTAACACCCTTCCTTGAGCGAACCCTCAACAACCCTACTACCGCCCAAGAGGTACTACGACAAACTGTCGTAATTACTGAGAACTTGACCAAGTTGGTTCATGACCCTATTGAGGCGCGAACTTTCTTGCCAAAGCTCCAACCCGGCGTCAAGAGCGTAGTCGGGCGCGCCCCGCTGCCAGAAGTGCGAGAGATAGCTACCAGGGCATTGGACGTCATGGACAAGGCTATGGGCAACGACCAGGCTGTTGTGGAGAGAACCTCCGCAGATGATGTCGCTAAGGTTCTTGATTCCGAGATTAAGAAGAACGGCGGCCTTTCGGGTGATTTGGAATTCTACAAGATTGCGCGCCCTTACATTTGTGAGATGGTGGCTGAGGATGCCAACCATCGCCAAATCGACCGAATTTCCGCCAGAATTGCGCCTTATCTAAAGGACATAATGCACAAACCTGGCGCCAATGATGCTGTCGCTTCTGCCGTTCACCAGTTCTACGTAGCTGAGGACCAGCGCAAGTATGGTGTACCCGAGAAGGAAGATGATGGCGAGACTGAGATTGTCAATGCAGACTTCTCGTTAGCCTATGGTGGTATGCTGCTTCTATCCCACACCAACCTTCGACTGCTGAAGGGACATCGATATGGTCTGTGTGGTCGCAATGGTGCTGGCAAGTCTACTCTCATGAAGAGCATTGCTGGTGGCAAGCTAGAAGGTTTCCCACCGCAAGATGTTCTTCGCACTTGCTACGTCGAACACAACCAAGGAGAAGATGCCGACATCAGCATCCTGGATTTCATGGTCAAGGATCCTACAATCGCTTCAGAAGGAAGAGAGAGAATCTCTGAGGTCTTGGCTGAGTTCGGTTTTACGGCTGGTCCTGAGGGTCGACAGTCTCAAAAGGTCGGGTCTCTATCAGGAGGATGGAAGATGAAGCTCGCTTTGGCTCGAGCAATGTTGCAAAAGGCAGATGTGCTACTGCTCGACGAGCCTACCAATCACTTGGATGTTGCCAACATTGCATGGCTCGAGAACTACTTGAAGTCTCACACCGATATCACCAGCTTGATCGTTTCCCACGACTCGGGCTTCCTAGATAACGTGACGACCGACATCTACCATTACGAGCCTGGCAAGAAACTCGGTCATTTCAAGGGCAACCTGTCAGACTTTGTCAATATTCGCCCTGAAGCCAAGGCCTACTACACGCTTTCTGCCTCCAACGTTCAGTTCAAGTTCCCTCCCCCTGGAATCCTGACTGGTGTCAAATCCCAAACGCGTGCTATCATTCGAATGACCGGGGTTTCTTACCAGTATCCTAAGGCTCCCAAGCCGTCTCTCGCCGATGTGTCGTGCCAGTTGTCTCTATCTTCTCGAGTTGCTGTCATTGGACCCAATGGTGCAGGAAAGTCAACTTTAATCAAGTTGTTGACTGGCGAGGTAATCCCAACTAGCGGAAGGGTTGAGAAGCACCCTAATCTGCGAATTGGTTATATCAAGCAGCACGCCCTTGAGCACGTCGAAATGCATCTCGAAAAGACACCCAACCAGTATTTGCAATGGCGATACGCCAATGGAGATGACCGAGAAGTGTTCTTAAAGCAGACTCGTATCCTTTCCGACAAGGACCGAGAGCAAATGGAGAAGCGCATCGATCTAAAGGACGGAAAGGGCGAGAGACAACTCGAGGCTCTTGTTGGTCGACAAAAATTCAAGAAGACATTCCAATACGAAGTGTAAGTCAATTGCCAAAATGCCCCGCATTAAATCAACGGTACTAACTTGTTGCAGGAAATGGGTAGCATGGTTACCAAAGTATAACTCTCAAGTGTCTCGAGAGACCCTTATTGAATGGGGTTTCGAAAAGCTAGTACAGGAGTTTGACGACCACGAGGCTTCTCGTGAGGGTCTCGGCTACCGAGAGCTTCAGCCCACAGTCATCTCTAAGCACTTTGAGGATCTTGGCCTGGACCCCGAGATTGCTAACCACAACGAAATCGGTAGCTTGTCAGGAGGACAAAAGGTCAAGGTTGTCATTGCAGGTGCTATGTGGAACAACCCTCATTTGCTTGTGCTCGACGAGCCTACTAACTTTTTGGACCGTGATTCCCTCGGTGGTCTTGCCGTTGCCATCCGCGACTTCAAGGGTGGCGTGGTCATGATTTCCCACAACGAGGAATTTGTTGGTGCCCTGGCTAATGAACAGTGGCATATCAACGACGGCAAGATGGTTATGAAGGGCAACGCTGCCATCATGACAGACCGCTTCGAGGACAGCAAGCCGAACAGCGGCTTAACAAGCGGCATCACAAGCGGCGTGAACAGCACAGCAGTTAGTAGCGCCGTGAGCAGTGCAGTCAACAGCGGTACCGAAGATAATACGCCGCTGAAGTTCAAGTCCAGGAAGAAGAGAAAGAAGACCAAGAAGGAGGTCAAGGAGCAGGAGGTTCGCAGGAGACTGCGCCACATCGAATGGCTCAACAGTCCCAAGGGCACACCTCACCCGGCGGATACCGATGATGATGAGTAAAGACCTAGTCGCTCTTTTTTTCCCCTGATAGCACGTCGATACATTTTTACGCGCACACCTATGAAGCAATGAGTGGTTTTCATTACAAACTTGGTTCCCCAATTGGCCAGGTCGTCGATAGAGCTGCGGCGATCACATCCGCAGCACAATTGACGACGCATGAAGGGGGTCTCTCATTCGTACAGGCGTTCATATAGATGGAAGGGGGATTTGCATTATAGAATAATGACTTCATATTCGCATAGCTCGTCGGAGGCTAGTAGATGAATAGACGGTTTATGAAATATACATTGTGCACGCGTCTACTACATTTGGTGAATGTCTCTATGCTACCATCATTTTGTGCAATTATCGTAGTCGCTCTAATGCCGGGATGGCTTGGATTTCGCAATACTGAGAATACATACATAGAAAATGTATTAGAAAAGACTTATCTAGTAAAGCAGAGTAAAACAGAGTAGAATTCAATTACATCAAGAATGAACAGTGCCTACCTAAGCTTTATGATGAATTTCTTATTGGATGACCATTACTCCTGTAGCTATTCAAATCAAGTAAAGAGCCCTTACTATGGCACATTTACACATGAACTATCACGAACTGTAGTAGTTTCTTCCCCTAGATAAATCATATTGTGCAAATATGTATAATATTTCCAAAGTTGATATAGCTGCCAAGCTGAGACGGAGAAAATGAAGTTGCTAAAACGAGGCGGAGTGGTTGAAGGTAAAGTAGGATGGGGATGGGCCACCTAACCAGAACAGCGTCAAAATTCACCGCCAACGTGTCACGAGCGACACTAACAAGTACTGTCTTTTGAACCGCCTGAAGAGGATATTATCTGATAAATACCGCCCACACTGTGACGGATAATTCTGACACCTTTCTGCTAACCTACCTAGGTATCCAATGGTGTCCTTGTGGCAGAGCTGCAAAGGATGACGGCGCAACGAAGAGGCTTAGGTAACCTCAGTCTCCTTCAATTTGATAAAGCGAGGTACATAATAATGAAAGACAATGCCTCAAAGCTGAAGAATGGATCTTTGATCAGGTGAAGAGAGAAGAATGAACAATCGCTTTATGACGAACAATGCGTTTATTGCTAGCCATAGGAATAGATATGTAGTATATATAGTCGAGACCAATTTCACAAATCAATCCAACGAAATTATCATCAAAACACTAAATACCTACTACTTACTACCATTTCATGATCAAGGATTGACCTAGGTAGCTGAACCGAACCACAAGTAAAACTCAAACAATGTCAGACATAACACAACAGACAGCCCTCACAAACCCCGGCATGACGGAGTCTCAGAGAAACATCCTCATGATGCGAGAATCCATGCACCAGCTCAGCATCATCCTAGAAGGCCAAGTCAGCCGACTGGAGATGTTCGCGGCGACCAAGGACCACGGCGAGGAGGGCAAGTTCCAGCACGACGTGCACACCACGCTGACGTACTGGCTCTACGACCTGTACCAACAATCGCAGCTGAAGTACGAGAGGGCCATCGAGGCGGCCAAGACGGCCGGCTTGCTGCGGGACAGCGACGATTCGTCGTCGTCGTCGTCGTCGTCTGCTACTTTAAGCGAGGGTGGTGATGATGATTATGATGACATGCAGGGGTTGCCTATTACTCCTATCACTACTGACTACAGTGACAGTACCGCGGACGACGAGGAGACTGCGGAGTTCACCGATGAGGAGTCTGAGGAGTCCAGTGATGCTTCTTCTGTCTTTGACGAGGAGTCGGGCTCTGACGAGTCTACTGATGTCGAGTTTGTGCTTTGATCATTACCAGTGCTGCCTTGGAAGTGAGGTACAGTAAGTAAATAGGAAGTTACCTCGAATACTCGATTTCTGCGTATCGATGCGTCCTTGTTGGGTCCACGGGTTACCTTTTCTTCACTTATGTCCTATTCCGTAGATAGCTTTCAATATTGAATCGAGCTGGGCACTTGGTGCTCGGTCTAATAATAGATCTTTATAGACACATCTTTCGCGAACACGCTGTCTTTTTTGTGACCTTACACGTACGAGTCGTTCTCGCTATTGACATTATGAATCAAAAACTGTGGCAGAGTTAATTGCGATGTGAATGTGCTCAGTCCTTGAGGTTTTAGTAAATATATATTTCTTCTCCAGGCAAAGACTATCAGCGCGGTACTTGAGGGGAAAGGGGATGCCCAGATAGGTTTAGCGCACTTCCAAATCCCATGTCCCAATGTCCAGGTCGCTGATTGGCTAGTTTTGGGGGTTTTGTCTAATTGGGGCTTGGCTAATAGAAGTAGTGGTAGATATAAATTCTGTTAAAAATCATGTCCCCAACACATAAGCCCGACTAGCTCACCGGTAGAGCGCCTCACTAGTATCAACACTCCTGACATGAGGAGGCAACAGGTTCGACTCCTGTGTTGGGCATTTATTTTATCTTTTTCTAGAAGCACGTATTTTATTTGCCTGAAAGTTGATAGACAATTCTCGCTGCTTACCCCTTTTACTGTTGACCATTGACAACATCTTTTTGACGTGTCTATCTTTGCCCTTTCTTTCTACATTATCGTTTCATGGGCTCAACTCTGGATTGCTTTTAGGTAGTGAGCACGGTAAGATTATTCGAAAATTCGACTAACCTCAAGCGACTTTAGAAAGACTAAACAGACGTTCTCTGGTTCATAAGGCCGGGATGCTGCCATGCTGTAATATCATGAATTAGAGAGGTGAAGTAACGAGCGACGACATCGGAATAGTACGACGTATTGTGCAACCCAATCCTAGCATCAATCTCCGCGGTAATAATTCTAACTATCAGACCTTTAGCTTCGGCTTCAACAATCATATTGCCACTGAGTAGTTCTGTCATCAAATATGACCGTATTGTTGCCATACTGCATGGAAACCACGTTACTTTCAACGGGCGACTTTAATCATTGATGGTCTGCCTGGCTTGAATTTTAGGTAACTATATCATGTTCGAGTCAGTCCCATTGATAACCCCATCTATTACCTATTCGCTCAGAATGGGACGGGAGAAGGACGTCTTTCTTTTTGGTTTGGAGCTTCTTCGTTCTTCAGACACCTACTCGTCCTTGCGGGTGCGGGCTAGATAACGCTGCTTCCTCCTTATCGAGCTCGTTGAACTTCTGAACTACCCTCAGAGTAGCGTAATAACTAAATGGCAACGCGAAGAACCAGAAGCCAAGGTTTATACTGGCCGTGGCGATCAGCGAAGCTGGGGCAGCCTGAACTCCGAATCCCAGAGCAACACCAGCAGTCTCGATTCCTCGAAGCAGGGAGCTGTATCGAATCTGGTCACCAGGAGAGTCTGACAGGTTACCGATGCACCAATAGATGTAGTTCTCGATCATCCCAAGACCCAACCGTTCGAACACGTAGACACCGAATCCCCTAGCGAATGTAGATTGGTTGCCCCAATCTAGGACTGGAAGCGTTACCCGGTATTCACTCTGAATAAACACAGCCCAAATCCATGTTGCGGAGTTAAGCAATGCAATTACGACATATGTCGTAACAGCACGGGTCTGCCTCTTTTTGGTCCACTGGACGTCAACCAAAACACCACCCAGCCATGTAGCAAAGGTACCGACGATAGCCGAGAGAAAGCTACCTAGTGCTCTGGATCGTACGGTGAAATATGTCGCTAGATAGGTCCCAGGATATGCTTGAGTCCAACCGAAGTACCAGAAAAGGGGTACCAAGAGCAGTATCGACTTGCCCTTTATCAACCTCCACATCTCGCGAAGCTCTGTACGCCAGTAGATTCCCCTAGGCGCCTCGATGCGGGTTCCGTCATCTCGTTGTACTTTCTCGGGGTTTGACAGAAATAATGCGAACAGACACCCAAGGCATTGAATGGCGATGAAACCAAGGTATGTTTGATATCCCACTTGACCACGTTGGTTGACTTTGACGTTGAGAGCTAGCGAGATGGCACCGCCGATTATATTTCCCTATGACAATTAATTAGCTGCTACGTTTAATGAAATACGGAGGGATTGTTCCCGGAGAAGCTAGAGATATGACAAGACCAGAGGGGCGAATAAAGGTATTTTGGAAGGTACCTACAAAGTTACGGAAGGTGAACCAAGTCGCAATGTAGCGTCCTCTCTTATGCTGCTCTGGATATCCCGTCGCGATGGCGCCCTCGACACCCCAGAAGAACCCAGCGCTGATGCCGCAAGCCACCGCACCGACGTAGACGAACCAGGTACTACCGAAGCGATTATTGACATAAAGACCAGCCGCATACAAGGGATAGCCAAGCGTGCCCAAAGATAAAGTCCAGCGGAAGCCAATAGCATTGGTAAGCCACGGAGAGGCAAAACACGTCACCGTCATGAACGCGTACAGCAATGCATTGGCGGCGTTAATAAGATCCGGACTTTGGCTTCCACCAACCCCTAATCCGTTCATAGCACTCCATATTCCAGGAGCGCTAAAGGCACAAATTCCGACAACAAGAATTTGGAAAAGGGTTCCCCTGAAGAATTGGACGTGGTTCGACCTGGAAGAAGCATCGTCGGCGTTTGCGACTACGACGGAGCTGGGGGCAGCCACATCAAGCCCTTCCTTGCCGACAACCGGTTCGCCAGACATCACAGTATTTTTGTAGATGAGGAACTGTGTGTTTGGTTAGATAATAAACGAGCAAAACTTGGCGGAAATGCAAGCTGGCCTTCCTAATAGAAAAAAAAACGACACAGATCCGCGCACATACAGGTCTCATTATTTAATTAACAGAAACCACCGCCCTCCAACATTCTGGCTGTCACAATGAGATGTACGCGAGATTCCAGCCATCTGACGTGCTAGTCGTCGACAGGGCAAACACGCAGCGGTATCAATCCTATTCTATGTCTGATAGGAGTCTCAAGGAAACGCGGGGTTATCAACGCATTATTAAGCCCCCAGAGTCAAATGTGGATGGTTCATGGATGACGTGATTTTAGTACTGGAAATCGAAGGGGAGGGGTTCGATCATGTATGGCATGATAGGCCGGATCCTATCGATGGCGTTTGGTCCGGACAAAGACCATCCCAGGCAATGTCGCCCGGTTTGTGAGCAACTTTCAATAATTGATATCGCTTCTCAAGGATATTTCCTGGTGCGAATGTAGTATCCATCGTCATGGCCGCCACATTGAAGCAGGCCACGATACGGCCGTTGGATTCGGGGAGTATAGCTTCGCCATTGCTGAGCTTCGAGCAATTCGACCTTCCGTCCGGCAACCAGCGGGTTCTTGGATTGCCGCACCCGGAGGGCACCGCCATCCCTCTCGCCTTACGGCCGACGGCCTCTAGCGATGCTGCTCCTGAACTCGATACTGTTATTGAGACAGTGAAGTATCTACAAGCGCATGGTGACATTCTCACCAAGAAGTTGGCGGTTCACGGTGCATTGCTTTTTCGGGGTTTGCCTATTCATGATGCAAACGAATTTAGCAAATTTGCCCATGCTTTTGGATATAAGCCACGGTATGTGAATGCGCCACCCACAGTATCCGACGATACTTGGAACCTACTGTTGTTGAATGGGAACTAATCCATGCGTCGTAGTATGTCTCAAAAATCCTTATCTCATGTAGACTGCCAACAGTAGCACACTGCTTCCTAGTGGAAACAAGTTCAAACAGTCGTGTGCAATATACCTAACATAAATCAGACGAAATCATCGGGATTGTCGTCGATAGACCATTGCTTGCCCCCAATGTGGCTCCAGCCAATGAATCGCCAAAGGAAGTACTAATCTATAGCCACAACGAATCCCCGCAAGTACCCCACGCGCCTGAGTATATCTTCTTCTATGGCCACAGGGTTCCCGAGAAGGGTGGTGAATCACCAATCTCTTCATCCCTAGAACTATTCCATCGAGCCCAGCAAGAAATCCCCGAGTTCATCAAGGAGCTTAGCGAAAAGGGAATTCTTAGCAAAGTGACCTACAAGACCAACAGCCAATACGCCGGCGGCTCAACGCTGAAGCAAGCATTCGGAAAGGAGATTAAGGAGGGCGACGACGAAGCAACGAAGCGAGCCAAGATCGAAGCCCAGATCGCCCGATACGGTAGGGGCAAGTATACGACGTGGGAATGGACCGACGACGGCATCGTCCTGACGCACAGGCTCCCGGCGATCCGCACGCAGCCGGGCACGGATCTTCCGACGCTCTTCACGGGGCTCGCCGCGTACTGGAAGAACGCGCAGGTGAACGGGGTCCGGAAGAACCCCACGCAGCAGCTCTTCGGAGACGGCACGCAGATCCCGGACAAGTACCTCGCAAAAGTGGCGGAGATCACGGATGATATTCGCGTGCTGCATAAGTGGCAGCGCGGCGATGTGCTTGTTTTTGACAATATTATCGCGCAGCATGGACGCGAGCCCTGGGAGGGCGAACAGTCGGATCGTGTCATCCAGGCGAGCTTATTTGATGGGGATCAGGTCCCTGGCGCGTATGTCGAAGAGGACTGGGCTCAGGTCGTTCAGGCGCTTGATGGGTAGATTGTTCATATTCATTCTTGATTTATATTCTAGGTATTTATGTGTTCAATTTCCATACACCTACCTAGGTACCTATCAAGAGGCGCTTTAGGGAATGATTGAGATCCCCTTTCCGTCAAGGTATTCTCCCCCTTTGTAATCTAGATGTGTGATACCAAGCCAAGACACCTACACATGTAATATGCGACTTACATCGTTTTATTATCTTATTCCATCTCCAGATCTTAATTCCAACGGTAGCTTTCATAAATCTTGAGTTAAGTAGCATTATCATTAGAATCCCTGTTAACAATAGCGCCCAGAATTTACCCGGTTCCTTTACCCACGGAGGGACCCTTCCTGCAGATGGAGCCTCAAAAGGTCAAGAACACATTCATCGATTAGATTTCACTGTCTTGCCCTGCAATTTTCGAATTGACCAGGTGCCTGCGCATCGAATGAATAGTCGGACTCGCCTCCGGATTGAGATCATGAGATGACCTTGTTCTCAATCAGAAACGCACGATGCCTCCATATCGTAGAGCTTTTCTAGCCATATGCATCTTCACTCCTCTCATTTATATCTATTGGCAAAAGTTTGCGTTTCCCGTCGCGCTCAACGACTTTGGCAGCCTCCAATCTAGTCCGGAAGATGTTTTTAATAAAACACTAGGCGTGAGCCCCCCCTTTTATTCATTCCATTTTTCATGTAACAATATATTAACACCGCCTCTAGTTCTCTAAGATATTCGCCATCAATCTGCCGTCGCGCACGGATCGTCGAGATGCGATGGTCCTGGCTGGTGCCGTCAGCAACCTGACTTTCACTTGGATCAATGGCATCTCAGGCGATCAAGTAGTGGATATAGATGCGCCAATTCGTAATGGGGCGCGCTTATCTGGAGCGAAGGGGTCTTGGAGATCTC